TATCATGATATATATATATATATATATAGTATATATGTATAGTATATACAGTGATATATAGTGACATGATATATATTATATATATACTATATATTATATAGTATATGTGATATATACTATATAATATATAGTATATATATAATATATATCATGTCACTATATATCACTGTATATACTATACATATATACTATATATATATATATATATCATGATAATATATTATATAAATAGTTTATTTATAATAAAATTATAATGATAATATATTTATCATATTAGTATGATATACACTATATATAGTGTATATCATACTTATATGATAAATATATTATCATTATAATTATATTATAAATAATATAGTATATTAGATAATAATAGTATAATAGTATAGTATTAGATAATAGTATATATTATAATATATAGTATAATAGTATAGTATTAGATAATAATAGTATATTAAATAATATAATATAATAGTATACTACAATATAATATTGAAATAGTATACTATATCGATATCATATTGTATACAATATGATATCGATATAGTATACTATTTCAATATTATATTGTAGTATACTATTATATTATATTATTTAATATACTAGTATATTATAATATTATGATAATATATTATACCGATATGATAAATAATTGTGATTTTAAAATAAATACAGAATGTGACTATAGACTATATGGTGTTTATTATAAAAGTTATGTGTTATCTAATGTGTATAATTTATAAACTTTACAAATAAAAAGATGTACATACAATGAAATTTATAAGTTTCATTGTATGTATATCTTTTTATTTATAAAGTTTATAAATTATACACATCACATACTACATAACTTTTATGATAAACACCATATAGAATGTGATGTGTATAGATGTCAAAATATATTTATATTATTTATCATATCGATATAGTATATTATAATAATATGTTAAATTTGCAAAGTCTAACTTAGTTCAACTAAGTTTAACTTTAAAAAAAAAAGAAGTAAATAAGAAAAAAATAAATAAGTAAAAAAGTAAAAAAGAAAAAAATAAGGTCAGGTCAGGTTTTCCTGCTACTGGTAACATGTAACCCAGTACAACCTGCTCCATGTCCTGCTGCCTTGTAGGATACGCTTTTTTAGGCAAAGGCTAGGAGAAGTTAACTCCGAATTAAAACACCCCCTGCCTTGGGGCTCTTGGTTGAGTAAAGGCTAGAGATGGTGTCTCGATAAAAATACTCATCTTGGGCAGATGTTACATGCATCCAGCTGCTGTCTTGTAGAAGGCCTCCTAGGCAAAGACTTAAGGGGTAAACAGATTCTATCTGTTGACCAGCCTCGCACCCCTTCCTTATCTATTAGGCTGGCGCAGATGTATTTTTAATACATTGTTTCCAGTTTAGGATGTTGAACGCTGATCTTCTTGACTCAATGCGTGGGTATTGCTTGTGTCTCTATTTTTATGACTGGGCAACTCATTCTATTATCTCCTAATGAGGGTACAGCTCTAAAACTCAGTTTTATGGTTCTGAGGCCGGCTGGTAGTCAGGTTTCCCGAACTCTGTGGTAGCTCTCAGAGAGGCTGATTCCATCAACAGCTGAAAAATATCAGAGTACTAACAGTGCCATATTGCGCATGGATGGTGTCCCTGTTTGTACTTTTGGTGTGCATTGCAGAGGCCACATTTGGAGCCCTTTGTTACGGCTTAGGGTTTATTAATAGTAATGAGGCTATTGCTTAGTTGTTAAATAGTGTACTGAGTACTATCTATACTTGAGTCAAGTTCTTTATAAATTTAAAATGACTAAAGTACCTAAAACTAAAAAACACAAAAAACCATCGCCATCACCAAGTTCTCTAAACCTATCATTTACTAATATTCGTGGTCTTCGAAGTAACTTTTCTTCTGTTGAGTCTTATCTCTTGCAAAGTTCACCAGACCTACTTGCTCTTTGTGAGACTAATTTGAGTTCGGCTGTCCCATCTTGTGATCTTAGTGTTGATGGTTATCTTCCTTTAATTCGTAAAGACTCCAATAATCACATGCTTGGCCTGGGCATCTACATTCGTAAGAACTCACCCATTTGTCGTGAAACTAGGTTTGAATCTACTGACTATTCATTTATGTGCTTTCGTTTAGCACAACTTCACTCTATCGCCTTTCTCTTTGTTCTATATCGCTCTCCTTCATCTTAAGATTGCACTATTCTTGATGTTATTTCTGATCAAATTGACCAAGCCCTCTCTCTTTATCCATCGGCCAATATCGTCGTTGTTGGTGACTTTAATGCCCATCACACCGATTGGCTTGGCTCTAGTGTCAGTGACTCTGCTGGCGTTAAGGCCCTCAACTTTTGCCTTTCTCAATCTCTAACTCAAATAGTCAACTTTCCAACTCGTTTTCCAGACAACCCTAATCATTTACCTTCTCTACTCGACTTATGTCTTGTTTTGGATCCTAGTCAGTGCTCAATTTCTCATTCACCCTTAGGTACTTCTGATCACGGTTTGATCTCTCTAAAACTATTATCAAATTCTTCTACTTCATCAGAATCCCCCTATCATCGTACCACATACAACTACCTTAAAGCTGACTGGGACTCTTTCCGTGATTTTCTTCGTGATGACCCTTGGGTAGAAATCTTTCGTCATCCTGCTGACAAATGTGCTTCTTACATAACTTCGTGGATTCAGGCTGGCATGGAATCTTTTATTCCCTCTCGACGATTCCAGGTCAAGCCTCACTCTTCTCCTTGGTTTTCCTCACATTGTGCTGCAGCAATTTCTAATCGAAACCGTTACTTCCATATCTATCAGCAAAACAATTCTCCAGAAAACAGACATCTGTTCACTATCGCCAGAAACCATTGTAAAAAGGTTTTGTCTGACGCCAAAGCTCGCTATTCCCAGGTCATTAAATCTCGTATCTCATCACAAAAATTAGGCTCTCGAGACTTCTGGAGAATCTTTAACAGTATCAATAATAAGGGCAAATCTGTTATTCCTTCTCTCTTGTATGGTTCAGACTTTGTCACCTCACCTAAAGACAAAGCTGAATTGTTTGCTAAGAACTTTTCATCAATATCATCTCTTGATTCCACTAGTTGCGTTTTACCTGACATAGCCGTCAAACAGGTTGATCCCTTGCTTGACATTCGCATCACTTCAGCTTCTGTATCTAAAGTAATTTCCTGCTTAGACTCTTCAACAGCTTGTGGTCCTGACAACATTCCTGTTGTAGTCTTGCAGAGGTGTTCTCCGGAGCTTTCATCCATACTTTCTAAACTATTTAACAAGTGCTTATCAGAGTCTTGTTTTCCATCATGCTGGAAAGCAGCATCTGTTATCCCTATTTTCAAAAATTCCGGAGAGCGATCTGATTCATCTAACTACCGTCCCATTAGTCTTCTTCCTGTCATAAGCAAGGTTTTTGAATCTTTAATCAACAAACACTTAATCTCTCATCTTGAATCAAATAACTTACTTTCTGATCATCAATATGGATTTCGGTCTTCTCGTTCTACAGCTGATGTACTAACAGTAATAACCGATAGGTTTTACCGTGCATTAGATAGAGGTGGAGAGGTTAAGGCTATCGCACTTGACATTTCTAAAGCTTTTGATAAAGTTTGGCATGCTGGTCTTCTCCATAAGCTTTCTTCTTATGGTGTAGCTGGTAACGTCTTTAAGATTATTGAGTCCTTTCTTTCCAATCGTAGTATAAAAGTTGTCCTCGATGGACAACACTCTTCTTCACATCCTGTAACTTCAGGGGTTCCTCAAGGTTCAATCCTTGGCCCTATACTCTTTTTAATTTACATTAACGATCTTCCAGATATTCTCACATCTAAGGTGGCATTATTCGCTGACGACACTACCATTTACTCTTGTCATGATAAGAAGCCTACACTCTCTGATTGCTTGGAGGGGGTATCTGAGCTTGAAAAGGATCTCACTTCTGCTACAGCATGGGGCTCACAGTGGCTGGTGAACTTTAATTCAGATAAAACTCAATTTTATTCGGCCAATCGTTATCGTAATAATTTAGATCTTCCTATATTTATGAATGGTAATGTACTAGATGAGTCATCTACCATTCATCTTCTAGGATTAACTCTTACTTCTGATCTTTCTTTTAAACCGTATATCAAATCCATTGCAAAATTAGCATCTGCTAAGGTTGCATCTCTTTATCGAGCTCAACACTTTCTTACTCCAGATTCTATTCTCTATCTCTATAAATCTCAAATCCGTCCCTGTATGGAATACTGTTGCCACATCTGGGGCGGATCTTCTAATGATGCTCTTTCTCTTTTAGACAAGGTGCAAAAACGAATTGTAAACATAGTTGGACCTGCTCTGGCAGCCAATCTCCAACCTTTGTCACATCGTCGTAATGTTGCTTCTCTTTCTCTTTTCTACAAATACTATAATGGGCACTGCTCTAAAGAGCTAGCGTCCCTTGTGCCATCTACTAAAATTCATTCTCGTGTTACTCGCCATTCAATTAAGTCTCATCCTTTTTCTGTGACTGTTCCTAAGTGCTTCAAAAACTCTTATTCTTCTAGTTTTTTTCCTCGAACATCAGTTCTTTGGAATTCGCTTCCTTCATCTTGCTTTCCAGATTCATATAATTTGCAATCTTTTAAGTCATCAGTCAATCGTTATCTTGCTCTACAGATTTAGTCTTCTCTCTTCCAGAAACTTCCAACTCTTATAGTGGTTGCTTGCAGCCTTGTTGGAAGTGAAGATGTTAAAAAAAAAAAAAAAAAAAAAAAAAAAAAAATAATTAAAGTAAATAAGTAATAGATGTGCACTTGGATTTTTGAATTCTACTATTTTTATAAAGTGCTGGTTGCAATAATTAGTCCAAAATATCACTGATTATAAACTGTATAAATTGTATTAAAATATGAAAAAGTGTCTTTTAACTCTATTGAAACAAAGATATATAGTTCTTTTACTAAATATACTATTGATTATTATTTTAGATGAAGAAATTGACGGGACAGCTTTTTTGGAGTTGAATGCATTATTGCTGCATGCAATGGGCATCAAAATGGGCCAGGCCATTAAAATTCAAGCCATAATTGAGGGAAAAAAGGTGAAAAATATAATTATAATAAAATATGGAGCTCAGAAAATATTATTTATTTTTTATTAAAAATATATTTTTAGTTAAATATAAATTATGATGATTAAATTAATGCATTGGTGTAACATTATTTTTATATTTTACATGATATTTTTCAGGGATTTTTACGACTGAGTTGTTACTTGTGCACAAAAAAATTTCAATCCACTAATGATTTTACTTATCATTTAAGAAACACGCACCTGTTGTTTGAACCTTGTTTTTTACAATGCAATGCTGATGGTTGCATGCGGACATTCACACTTTATAAAGTGTTACGTAAACACGTTAAAAAAACATATGTTTCATAATAATTTGAATGAAGTTGATAAACATGTAGATATTACTATCCAAAATACAGAAAATGAATACTTAGCTGAAGATTACAATGAGGTTTTATATTCTGAAAGTTTAACAAAAGAAAGTGTAGCAAAAGAAAATGTTTTTATTGCACCTATTGTAGACGAGTATGGTGTTTCACACGCAGCATTAAAATTTTTGATGTCTCTGCAATCTTCTAGTTCCATTTCTCTAAGCGTATCTCAGTTCATAATGGATAGTTTAAATGAGTTGTTAAAGAATATTATTAATTATCTGCTTGCCAAGACAGACGTTGTGTTAAAAACATACAGATGTGATGCCGCAACATTCAATACTCTTTCAGAAGAATTTAACAACTGGAAAAATCCTTTTAAAGGCATTGATACTCATTATAAAATGTTGAATTATCTTAAAGTAAAAGGTCTCTATGTTGAACCTGAAGCACATTCAATAGGAGATTGGTGGGATGTTAAGCGAGACAGATCAACAAAGCAACAAATGCAGGTATGTGTAAAAAATAAATTTTACCTTATACCAATTGAGAAAACTTTGAAATTGGTTTTGCGACAACCTGAGACTTGGAAAATTTTAAAAAGAAACAATGATTCAGCAAATGATATAGCAGAAGATTGGTTAGACGGTAAGCATGGGAGACAGCTAAAAACATATGCCAAACAATATTTTCCTAACAGTATTCATGTATTTATTCAGATTTATTTTGATGAGGTAGAGACAACAAATCCGCTTGGATCCAAAACTGGAATACATAAGTTAGGTGCATTTTATTTCACAATAAAAAACTTTCCACCAGCTGCAAATTCTGCATTAAGCAATATTCATTTGTTGGCCTTGGCACATTCGGAAGACATTAAACGGTACACCACTGATCCTGTTATAGAAGTTATTGTTCAGCAATTAAAAGACTTACATGATGAGGGCTTTACTGTTTTTTGTGATGGAAAAGAGATAAATATTCGTTGTTTTTTAACACAAGTTGTTGGTGATAATTTAGGGCTACATGCAATTCTTGGATACATGGAAAATTTTAGCAGTGCTTCATTTGCTTGTGACTTGTGTATGGCAACTCAGGATGAGATGCAAAAAGTATTTTGTGAATATTCTCTTACAATGAGGACAACAATCATATGAGCAACATATTGAGCAGCTTAATAATGGTACCATTTCATCTAAAGAGTGTGACATAAAGCGTCCCTCAACTTTAAAAAGTTTGAACTATTACCATCCTGCTTGTAATGACTCAGTCGATATAATGCATGATTTGTTTGAAGGTGTAATTCTGTTTGAAGTCAAGTTATTTTTGCGCCACATAATTTATGTCTTGAAGCTTATTAATCTCCATGGGCTTAATTGTCGTATTAATACAATGGATTATGATCTGGTTAGTAACTCAAAGCCAAGTTTTATAAGTGAGTCACATTTAAAAAGTCACAGCTCATTGCTTGGACAAAGGTCAGCTTAGATGCTGATTTTGTTTTTACATTTACCATGTATTTTAGCTGATGTTATTGACAAAGTAGATAATTTAAAATGGCGTTTGTACCAATTGCTAAAACAGCTGACAGAAATTATTTTATTGCCAAACTCTGTACTGTCGCATGTTTTGTACTTAAAAGATCTTGTATCAGAGCATCATGAGTTATTTAAAATATGTTATCCTGATAAAAGACTTTTATACAAACATCACAGAATGGTTCACTATGGTACTATAATAGAAAATAGCGGACCACTTTTACATATGATGGTAATGCGGTTTGAAGCTAAGCATAACTTTTCTAAGCGTCTTGCTCATATCATTTGTAACTTTAAAAATATAGCGTTTTCTCTCGCAAGCAGACACCAACTTTCTCATGCTTTTGTTTGGATGACTAGATGTCCATTAAAGGGGATTTCAGAAGTTGGAAATGGTACAATTATTTCATCATCAGATATTAAGCATAATCATTAATTTTACCTTTTATTGGTGAAAAAATAGATGTGTTTATGACTGAAAAAGTAGTCATTTTTGGTCAAAAGTACCAAACTAAGATGTCTGTACTTCACTCTATTAGTGATGAAGGTGAACCGTCATTTGTTAATATAGAACAAATATATGTTCATCACAGTGTAATTTATTTTATTGGACTTGTCACAATACATGTGGACTTGGCTTGTCCACATGTATTGTGATCTGACCCTATTGTATTGTTCTCTCGATTCAGAGCGTGTATGTTTGAGAGCAAGTGACTTAGCAGATTATAAACCTTTTGATGCTGTTCATTGTTTAAAACCTACATGTATATACAAGCATATTATTTTACGTCACCATTTGTATCATTGCAATGTATTAAAATGATTTTTTAGTTTTATTAATTTGTACATTTTACTTAATTCTCAATTCTTAAGATATCAGTTAAAGAAAAGCTTATTACTAAGTTGCTAAAAATAGTTTGGTTAAATAAACAAAATCTAAAAGTATTTATAACTCACTATATTGTGTCCAAAACAATATATATATATACATATATATATATATGTATATATATATATATATATATATATATATATATATATATATATATATATATATATATATATATATATATATATATATATATATATATATATATATATATATATATATATATATATATATGATTATAATACATTTTTATTCCTTTAATAAACAGAAGTAAATATAAACTGCTTTTTTTTTGTAGAAAAACGATAGTGTATTAAAAGACGTAACATGCTTAAAAGATACAACAGCTATAGCTTTCAGTTTAACTGAAACTTTAAACAGCCCCCTTGATGAGTCAGCTGTGTTACCAACATTATCATCGACAATTCAACTTTCACCTGACGGTTTAAACGAGTCAAGAAAAATTAAGTTAAATGTTTCTACTACTGATGTACAGGTTGCTTTAAGATTGGATAACATTGACTTTGTAAGTATACCTTATAACTTATAATATAACTTTTTTTTAAGTGTTTTGTTTATACTTAGTTCATTATTTTACACCACATTATTTCAGCAATTAAATAAATTCTTTTTATAATTTAAAAAAAATAAATTTTCAACTTATACAAATGAAGATCTTCTTTTTATGTAGAACATACGTAGTTTGCTTGATGAGCATCAAACAGGTAAGCTTGTTTTGGCAGAATATGATTCTACAGGTGCACTTATTAAAAGGCGTCAAGATATGATCCACATTGTTGTTAACTCAATGGTCCATAGAGTTGGAAATATGTAAGTTTATGTTTATTTCCGTATTATTATGGAACTATTGACATAACAATGAAAATATTAGTTTTATAACAAATTATTTATAAAGTTATTTATAAAAATTATCAAACATTTGCTTATAATAAATTTTAAATATAAAAATATTTTTGTTAATATATATGTTTTAGGTATCCTTCCACAAAAACCAAATCTAATCTTGCAAAAGCAATTATCACTGCCTTTCCAATTTCGCCAAGTTGAATGATTTTTTGGCTCAATGGGAGTTAATAACGCCACATGTTATCTCTTGGGCAAGGCAAAAGACAAATTTGATGGACAAGCAGATTCTTGCTGAGCTTGATATGCAAGACAACCCTTCTATAGGTACGTAAGTGTTATCTAAACAATATGGCTGGGTGTATTATAGATATCTAAAACCATTTTAATAAATTATAAATTGATAAAATGATTTCACTAAATTTTTATTTTATTCTTAATTCAGAAATTGAAATGGATTTTGCATTGTTATTACTCCCCTTTATAATTAAAGTACCATCAAAGAATATAAGTTGTGCATCAGCTGCTGAAGTTGCGGAACATTTCATTCAATTTTATCCGGTATATTGTAATATTAGATTCTATTAGATATAAATTTATACATATGAAATATAATATTAAGTTTGTATTAATAGTCATAATAAAATGTATTTAATAACTATACATGTTATTAACATTATTATACAGAAAAATGCCCCGTTGAGAGTCGGACTCTCAAGGGAAGGGGAATACATAAATAGTTTGACTTAGCGAATGTCCGAGTTATGCGAAGTTCTGGGTATGTAGAGAGTTCAAGGGGAATTGAAAATCTGTACGACTTATCCAAGGTCCATGTTAACGGGATTCTAGTCATTAAATATAGTAAATATAGTATTAGTTCTAATGGGCTGACATTTATATTTATTTTGTATCAAAATTACCTTTTTTAATGACTTATTTTAATTTCATTTCTACATCTAAATAGGCATCAACTCCGATGGAAATTGTGCTTCAAAGTCTTACAAGCATCCGTTAGTCATAGCTTTGGGTACTCATTGCAGTGTCGGTCAATTATTTATTGTTACAGAGTGTCGAGCTATTCCTGTCAACAGATGTATATCTTATGCTGTTGACATCTTAATTAAACTTTATTTTTTAATGAACATGGAGTATGCGGGACAATGTAGCCACATATTGTACTTTTTGCAGCATACCGTGTTAGGTTACCAAGATGAAATGCATCTATCGAGAGGAGCGAGTGACTTGTCCCTTTACCTTAGACAAAAACTTAATCAATTTTAAACGCAGAAACAATTATATTTTGGTTATTATTTGCTATATGCATTGTTATTGCTATATTGCGTAAATTTGTATAAATTATACTTTTCAGTATATTGACTTTCTGAAAATAAAATATCGTTTTTACAACTAAACCGTGTTAATTTATAATCACGATTTTGAATTTTTACTATCTTCAGGCCTAATAAAAACTAATACCGCTTTTACGCTTAAACCAAGTTAGTTTATAATCGCGATTTGGAATATTTACTCTTTCAGGCAAAATACCTAAACTACTTCGTGCCGTATGGAACCAGACGAACATTCAGGTAAAATACCTGAACCTGAACTGGTTCAGGTTCAGGTTTAGGCGTTTTACCTGAACCTGAACTGGTTCAGGTTCAGGCATAATACCGGAACCGAAACAGTTCAGGTAAAAATCCTGAAACAGTTCAGGTTCAGGTATTTTACCTGAATGTTCGTCTGGTTCCATACGGCACGAAGTAGTTCAGGTATTTTGCCTAAAATTTCCGTCAATTTACCGGAACTTTTTTAAGAGTGTATATATATATATATATATATATATATATATATATATATATATTATGTATATGTATATGTATATAAATATATATATATTTTTGGTGATTCTTAGATTTTTCACAATACTGTATATACCAGTGGCCAGGCTTGTGGAGCCTCCACAAGCCTAGCCACTGGTATATACAGTATTGTGAAAAATCTAAGAATCACCAAAAAACAAATCATAATTTATTTTTATTTTTAAATTTTTATTTAGTCAAATATGTTTTTCTGGAAAAAAAAATAACAATAATGAATTTTAGAAAATAGACAAGCAAAATAAAAAATAATAAAAATGCCAAAGACTTTTAAACAAATAAAAAAAAATGCATTTAAAGTTTTGTAGGTAATTTTTATTTTAAAAAAATTGAAAAAAAGCTAAGAACACAGAACAAAAAACGGTAGTTTTTACCTAATAACGCGTAATTCTACCATGAATTTTAAAACACTCATTTATACGATTTGGCATTGAGTCTATTAAATTCTTTAAAATATGTTTGAGAATATTTCCAAGTATTGTTGGTAAAATATTGCGCAACTCCTCAAGGCTCCTTGGTGCTTTCTTGGCAATCTCTTTATCAAGCCAACTCCAAAGATTTTCAATGCAATTTGTTATGTTTAATGTTATGTTAAATATATATTTCGTCATCTTCATAATAAATTATTTACAATATTTTTTTGAGTTATGTCGTGACGGGAGCAGGCAGAAGACAAAAGTCTTATCATCCAGCCCCGTTGTATCATTTACATGTTAGACTAAAATTAATCTATCATATAAAAAAAAATATTACAATCTCAGTAAAGTAATATTAAATACTTTTATATAAAAAGTTTTACCTTTTTTTTCCGAATACAAAACAACTTAAGATAAAAAAAAAATAATAATAAAGTTTAAAGATAAGTAATGATGTAAAGGGTGATGTTGTTTATTGCCTTGCCCATGCAATGTTACAATAACTAATACAGCTATGAATAAATGAAAAGTAAATGGATTTTAAACAGTTTTTATCCAACATATATCTAGTTTTATACGTAATACCAATATTTTTTGAAATTTTTTTTTCTACAAGATTAGTAAAAACTCCATTTTTAAATGAAAAGTTAAATATAATAAGTAAGGGGTATTCAATAATATCAAGAACTTCTTTAACGACCCTTGGGCTAATATCATCATGACCTGCGCTTTTGTTTGGTTTTATCATATGAAAAGCAAACCGAAGTTCATCAGGCGATACCTCAAGCTCATCCATTACATAGTTCACTTCTTTTAGATATGATTTAAAAATTTTTTTTCCTGTTGTTTTTTTATTTGCTAGGTTTTTACCCACGTTTATAAAAAAGTTATTGAAACTGTTTGCAATATCTTTTTTCTTATTAGTTATTGTTCTTTCATCCTCAGTAAATATTTCGGTAAAGTATCACCACGAGTTTTCTTTTCCCATTACTTCTTTTATTATATCCCAAGTTTTTTTATTGGTTTCTAAAAAGCAGCCGTGGCGCAGTGGTAGCGCACTTGCCTCAGAAACGTAAGATCCGTGGTTCAAACCCCACCTCTGGGCAAGTTTTGCGACATCAATTGAGAAGGAGGCGTGAACTTCCTATTAAATGCTCTTCTGCGGTGGTCTGTGATAAGACCGTAAGGACTTCTTGAGACACCTAAATAAACATTAAAAAAAAAAAAATTATTTTGTAATAAATTTGAGAAATAATTTTTTGAGCTTTTTTTTTTCAAGTTTTCAAACAGGTTTTTGTATATTTTATATTTTTTTTCGTTTTGATAAGTTTTTTTAAGTATTTTTCAAAGAGCTTTTGCTTCTTCTTAGAAGATTTAATAAGTCCTTTCGTAATCCATGGACTTTGTAGACTTTTAAGCTTGGTTTTAATTTCCTTCATCGGAAACGCTTTGTCGTACGCATTAAAGAACTTATTGTAAAAAAATTCATAGGCTTTATTTGTATCTTTGCAATTATGTAGTTGTTTCCAGTTTATTTTGAGTAAATAATTTCTAAATTCCTTAATATTACATTCAGTAATCTGCCTTTTTATTTCCGTTAGTACTTTGCTTTTTTTTTCTTTTTTAGATTTAGGATAAAGTCCCCCGTGATGTAAACTTGTTTATTTTTTACTTCTTTTAGATACCATTTTTTGTTTTTGAAAAGATTTTTTTATTCCGCATGGTGGTCTATACAAAGCAGTTATTAAAACGCTTTTTTAATAATTCAATAGTTAACGATTCATAATCCGCAGTTTGAAAGCTGAGAATTTCTATTTTCTGAAAATGGATTGACTTGTGAATAAAAATACATACACCGCCGCCAATGCCACCACCTCGAGTTTGGTGGGTTGGTTTATATCCTGGAATTTGAAAATTATCTTTTTCATTTTTGCACCATGTTTCAATTAAGCATATTACCATAAACTTATAGTTTATATTTTTTAGCATTGTTTTAAAGTTTTCAAAGTTTTTACTCATACTACGTACGTTTAAAGTTAGTGTTGAGAATAACGATTGTGACGTATTCATGAGGTTAGAAACTTCCTCAAAATCAAAATAGTTTGAGTTGTTTACATAACGTCCTCAAAATCTGGATCAATATCATTAATCAGAAGAAGTGTGTTTTGTTTATTAAAAGTTTCAAAAAAAGTTGTTGTATTTATTTTTATTATTAAAATATGTAAAATTGAGATTAAGAATGATTTTTAAGTAAAGAATAAAATTGTTTTCTAGCAGTATCATTTCGACAAATTGTAAATATTTTTAAAAATAATAAGCTTGTCACACCTGTCAATAACGTTTTCTCCTTTTTCTTTCTTTCGCTTTTGTAAATAACTTCTTGCGAAGGTTTGCTGTCTCTTGCGAGAAATCTTCATTTATGTAGATGTTTAGCCCTTTTAACTTTTTTGTTTCTTTTAGGATGTATGATTTGTCTTCCCAGTGGGCACGGAAGTAAAAAAGGACGTCTTTTAAACGTCTTATACACGTTTTAGACGTTTTCTGAACGTCTTTTGAACGTTTTGGACGTATTTTAAACGTTTAAAAGACGTCTTTTTTACTTCCGTGCCCACTGGGTTTGAATCTCAATAATTTTAATACGATGGTTATAGATTTTCGAGTAGGTTTTAAAAAAGAAGGCTCTCTTCTTTTTTAAAACCTACTCGATGCACCCTTTTAATTTCAACTCCTTTAACTCCTAATTTTACGCATAATAAATTTTGAACTTTTTCCTCAGTTTCATCCTAGGTTTCATTTGCATTTTCAGGAAGTCCAACTATCTTTAAGTTATTTCTTGTCGACCTGTCGACCAGTGATTCTGCATTTTTCGTTTAAAATATTAATAATATTTGGGGCTTCAACTTCTTTAGCAGCTTTCATCTTTTGATCTATTAAATGTTCATAAAAATTTAAACTTTTTTTTAAATCTTTTATATCGTTTTCCAGTATGTTACTTTTTTATCGCAATGATTTATTACGATGATTTTCTTTCAATATTATCCAAGCGTGCGTTGAGTATTTTTAAGTTATCACTACGTAAATTAAAGAATACTTTTTCTTGTTCTTTAAATAATAGTTGTATTTCTTTCTTGTGCAGGAAAAACATTTCTTTTATTTCTAATAAAGTTATAGCCATTTTTAATTTTAGTTGCATTGGAATTTACCGTTGATTACCAAAATCAAGGGTAAATTCCAATGCGACTAAAAACAAAATAACTTTTTTGGGGAGGCTCTAATTACATCTAATTACAGGCTAATACATCTAATTACAGGCTAATACATCTAATTACAGTCTAATTACAGGCTAATTACATCTAATTACAGGGTAATACATCTGCCAGCTAATTATATAAATTTTGGTGGCAATCTTTAGCTGAACAAAAGTAGTATTATATTAACGTAAACAGACCAAATTAAATAACAAATGTTAAACTATTTCTTTTATAATATAATTTTGTATATCTTTTAATTTGTTGTTTTTTGTGTATTGTTCACTGACAGAAAAGTCACAGATTGGTATTATTGATAATACTTTGTTGTTATAAATTATGTTTGCTGCACTATGTATTTTGTTGATTGCACATCGACATTTTTTCGAGAAGTATTAAGTATATGAACTCAATGGCGGATTTAGGCAAAAGCTAATATAGGCTGCAGCCTATGAGAGACACGCGGCCCTGGAGTGCCACAAGGAAAAAAAATGAAAAAAAATGAAAAAGAAAATTAAATTTAGAAAGAAAAAGTAAAGTCATCTAAAGCTTTAGTTTTTTTTAACTTTTTTACGGCTTTTTTAATTTGTCTAATAATTATTCACATGTATAGTATTCGAAATTTGAATCCTATTTATCATTATTTTGTAAATAAATAACGTAAGTAAATAAATATCAAGAAACATAAGTTATTGATTTTTTGTAAATTGACATGTTCCAAAAAATTCATGTTATTTCTACATCAATTAAATTCTATAATGATGTCCGTTACAGAGCGAAAGCTCTATTATATTTATTGACAAGTTTTAAATTTATTTTGATGGCGCAATTGTTTTTAGGGGCCATTCATAAAGAACGTCACCATTTTTTA